GCACAGGATAGAGCACGGTTTAGGGCTGTTGAGTTGCAAACGACTCGACAGCACATAACAACAACAACAACAACTAGATTATTTCCAAACTCCCTAGACTATACCAAAAAAGGGCTGACTGTTCTTAAAGCCAAGGAACAAGGCCCCACAGGGTTTAGCCATACCCACAGATCCAGGAGCTAGGAGGCACATAGAGAGATAAAGGCCTACTTACCATGGAACCCAGCAGAAGCTCCCTGCAGTCTGCAACACTGAGCTCTGGCCAAGACAAGGGCTCTGTGTCCATTACAAACCCCTTGGACACCTTGAAGGGAACACAATCAAGGGCATTCATTCTCTCAGAGGAATGCAGAGGTGGCTTGAGGGCTGGAGCAGTCTTGAGGATGTAGCTCAAACTTCAGACGCCCTGTTATTAAAATATAAATATTTTAAAGGAAGAATAAAAGCCACCATTCTTTTTTTGTTTGGTTTTTTAATTAAATTTTATTCATTTTAATGAACATTTACAGAGATTTTGGGTTTCCATTCATTCATTGTTGCACTATTTTCTCTACCCTCCCCCCCAGTTAGTTCCTCTTTTTTTCCCCCTTGAAAGTCTGTTTTAATTGTCCCATTGCCACAATGCTTGTCATAGCCAGTTCTGATTAATCTCCTTTGTCAGTGTGTCCTTTGCCGTTCCCTATCAGTCCTCCCTGAGAGAGACTTCACCCTGATTCATAAGGAAAAGGGGACGGCATATTCCCTTAGCTACTTCCTGCTGAAAAGGGATGCTGTAGGTTTCAGGGTGAAGATCTTTCACTACTCTAAAGGGCCCCTTTGGCAATAGGCACCATTATTTTTCTACAAAAACAATAGCTTTATCCTTGGATTATTTTGGATTTTCTACAGGTAATTAAGTGCCCTCGAGTCTCAGGCGACTCACAGCAACCCTATGAACGAGAGTCCTCGATGCTTGGGTGCCTTTCATCCTCTCTCCAGATACATAGGGTTCCTGGAGGCAAGCTATTATGGAAGTGGATGTCACTCCTCCTTCCAATAAAGCTATTAGAATTAATAAATTAATTTGGAAAGGTCATTGGATACAAGATCAATCTTTTAAAAGCAATTATACTTCTATAGACAAATAAGAAATCATATAAATGGTAACTTTTTAAAAGTTTATCAGAAATTGAAAAATTTTAAAGGTACCACTTAGGTACTTTATAATAGTATAATTTTTAATATATAATTTATAATAATATAATTCATTTCTGCATGTTTTTCTCATTTAATTTTGGTTTAGTAATCCCTCCCCAAAATTGGTAAGGAAACTTTCATGGCAAGAATCTTTACATAAATAAATGCTTGTTCTTTATTTTATAGTTTATATTTTTAAAAACTATTTGAAAAAAAGTATTTGGAATATTTTTAATAGCTTAGAAAACAAAAATGTTTCTGGAGTAACTAAAAAATAAAGGAATCATTGAAGAAATAAACTAAGTAACTATCAAGAAACAAATAAAATGATCAAATAAATATATAAGTAAAATTCTTAAAGAAATAAATTAATAGAATTAAAAAATAAAGGAATCATTTACATTATCAACTACTTATGATCAAAGTAATATAAGATGTATAAGAGTTCTATATAGAAAACAATGAAACACAAAACAACTATGAGATATCATCTCACCCCAGTCAGAATAGCAAAATTTAACAGAACAGCAAACAACAAATTCTGGCGAGGTTGTGGAGAAACTGGAACCCTTATTCACTGTTGGTGGGAGTGTAAAATGGTGCAACCACTATGGAAGGCTGTATGGCTCTTTCTCAAAAAGTTGCAAATAGAGATACCATTTGACCCAGCAATTCCACTACTGGGAATATACCCCAAAGAGACCATAACCACCACCCAGGCAGATCTATGCATACCCATGTTTATCGCAGCTTTGTTCACAATAGCAAAGAGTTGGAAACAACCTAAACAGCCATCAACAAACAAATGGATAGAGAAGCTGTCGTATATTCACACAATGGTATACTATGCAGCATTGAAAAACAAGGAACTCATGAAATATTATACAAAATGAGTGACCCTGGAGGACATTATGCTGAGTGAAATATCCCTGTCACAAAAGGACAAATATTGCATAGTGCCACTGTTGTAGAACGGGACTGACATCGGGGTTGGGGGAAGACTGAGAAAGATAGGATAAATAATGTATACTGCATTGAAACAGATGAGGGAGAAAACTGTTTAAAAGGGATATGTGATTAGGTATTATTGTCATGACATGAGTCCAGAACGAAGGCTGCATAGAGGAGTGGATTTGGGGGGTGGAGATTGTATAACAAGGAAAGAATTTTTCTTTTACTTTTCAAAGAGAAGAGTGAACTAGGGGGGAAGGGTGGGCAGGGTGAAAAGTGCAACAATGAAAGAATGGAAATCCAAAGTCTCTGTAAACTTTCATTAAAATTAATAATAAAAAAGAAAACTGTGTAGATTGTTAAAACTCAACGTTGTAAAGACATCTTCTCAACTTGATTTCTAGATTTTAGGAATCAAATTCATTTCTATATTTCAGCACATTTTTTGGGTAAAAATAGGCAAGCTAATTCTAAAATGTATATGTTAAAGGGGCTGAAAAACTCAAGATAATCTTAAAGATGCAAAAAAGTTAAAAATTGTATACTATAAAATATCAAGACTTAAAGTTTTAGGAATTAAGAGTGTAGTTGTCTTAGGCTGAATTTTTTAGAAGAACAAAACTATATATAAACAAATAAAGATATAACTAAAAATGACATTTATTGCAAGGAAATGGCTTATGCAGTTATGGAGGCTTCTAAGCCCCAAATCTCTGAGTCAGATGTCAGGCTGGAGGCTTCTCCTAACTCACATGGTTGCAGGAGTTATGAACCCAAAACTGGCAAATCAGATGGCAGAGTGCTGGCTCATGGAATTGATAAATCCCAAAATCTGAAGAGCAGGTAGCAGGCTCACATCCCATAAACCAAAGGTCAGAGGATGATAAGTAGGATGTAGGATCAAGAGGGAGAAAGTTTTGCCAAAACATTTTTTTAATACATGTTAGATGCAGGGCAGGGTAACAGATATAATACTGAGAATCATAGCCTAGCAAAAAGTTGGCATATAACATGGATCATCACAGTGGTACTGATATGGGAGATTCACAAAGAAAATAATAGAAATTTCAGAGATAAACGCTACATATATGAATCTTAGATTCATCTGGAGAGGGTTAAACCGGGCTGCTCCTTGGAGGCAAGGATTCTGAGGCTTCATCTGACATACTTTGGTTATATTGTAAGGAGGGATCGGTCCTTAGAGAGGGACATCATGCTTGGGAGGGTGGAGGGCAGGCACAGGAGGGGAAGGCCCTCTGGAAGATGGATTGATTCGGTGACTGGGGCACTTGGGATGAGTGTGTTGGAGACAGTGAGATTGGCATAGGACAGAGCAAAGTTTAGAGCTGTTGTACATAGGGTCGCTATGAGTTGCAAGTATCTCGAAGACACATAACAACAACAACAACAATATGAATCTTTATGACAAAATTGACCCTGAAGAACAGTAGGAAAAGGACAATGTTTTTGATAAGTGGTCATAGACCAATTGGACATCCCTCTCAAGTTGGGCAAAACACTATCTTGATCTTTCTACATCATACACAAAAATAAATATTAGGTAGACTGTAGGTCTAAGTGCAAAAGGTGAAATAATAAATCTCAAAGAAAAATTTCATTGTTCTTAGAATAGGCAAAAAAATTCTTGAACAGTTTACAGAAAGGAATAACTGTGAAGGAAAAGACTAATACTTTAGACGACATTAAAATTAAGACTTTCCATTCATCAAAAATATCAGAGCAAAAACATCACAAAATGGAGAAAGTTATTTGTAACACACATATCTGCAAAAGGTCTTATATCTAATATGTTGTTGTTAGGTGCTGTTGAGTCACCTGCAACTCATAGTGACACCATGTACAGCAGCTCTGAAGCCTGTTCTATCCTGAGCCAGTCTCACTGACTCTGACACACCTACCCCCATTGCTCTAGTTACTGTATCAATCCATCTCATCTGGGGTGTTCCCCTCCTACACTGTCCCTCCACCCTTCCAAGTATGATGTACTATAGAAAAATAAATTGTATAAATAAATAAAAAGTAAGATAACCATTACATGTATATGGTGAATGGCTGAAATGAAAAACCTGACAATATTAAGTACTGGGGAGGATGTGGAAAATCACATGCACTGCTGGTGAGAAATCAAATTAGTATTAGTCAAACATATCTACTAAAGCCAAAATCGGAGAATTATACAGAGTTGAAACTCACGCGCGCGAAGTTGAAACTTGTGACTGCCTTTACCCTGGGCTCCTGAGCTCTGTGTGGCAACTCACAAGCGATTAGGATTCAGGAGAGAGCTTGCTTCACACAGTGTCTGTCTCAACACAATCTGTCATGGCTGCCAAGATAGAGGTGACTGGGGTCAACCCTATCTCCTGAGCATACATTGTTCCTCACAAAGTAGGGTAGGTATTCTGAGTGCAAGAGGTCAAATGAAACCAGGTTAGCAAATCTTTTAATTCCCTCATCTCTTCCCACTCCCGTCTGTCCATGCTTGTCAGCGTCTTACTGGGGATAAGACTCAAAAGGCTTCCCCAGCTCCACGTCTAGAGGCTTGTCTACCAGCAGTGTTGACAGGTAGCTCTGTTTGCTGTCTCCACCACACAGGGTCAGGCAGACCTAGTATACTCAGTAAGAAATCTGCCCCACCAGCTGGTTCTTGACATTCTCTGGTTAATCATTCACATTTTCGGTGACCATTCAAAGTTAGAGCTATAGGGAAGAGCTATATCAATTTGTTGAGACAGAACTATGGACAGTTTGCCCATTGAGCCAGTAGAGAAAAACCACCTTGAAACATGCCCCCTATTTAACCTAATACTTTGGTTTGAGCCAATATCTATATCTTAATAATATTCTAGACTTTGCCCTACACCGTTTTGGAAGTAACTTTAGAATTTGAGGATTCTGAGGGCATAACTCTGAAGAATGGCAAGGAAGGGTTACAGCCTAAGACATGACCTTGTTAGAACATAGTCTAAAATGAGGACCACCTTAGCTAAATACAAAAATAGGAAGATATTTATCATTGTTAAGTGCTCTCAAGTCATAGGCGACACATGGTGACCTTATGAGTGAAAGTCCTCAATATTTGTGTGACTTTCACCCTTTTTCCAGGTTCATAGGGTTTCCGGTGCCAAGCTATTTACGGAAGTGGATGCCACTCCTGCTTCCAAGCTTGTTTTAATCAGAGAATTCCAC